AAGAAGGAAAAATAAGAATAATCAAACCAACAGCTCCTGCAACATATTTAAGATACAGCATTTTTCTTTCAGTCTGTAATTAAATAATGTGATCTGTGTGAACAAGCCATTTCTTCTAATTTACATTTGCCTTTAACTTGGCAACGAAGAGAGACCACAGATGCCCTAGAAAGCTCTGGAGACAGAGCTCACCTAGAGAGTGATCCTGTCTGGATACCCCACAGCATGCTGGGCTGTTACCTGCCTTATCACAGTTCCAGTGGGAACAATTCTATTTTTGCCATGTGATTATGGAAAAATCCTGCCTGTGTATACAAGTGTTAAAAATATGATTCCTAGGCAAGAACGCTGCCACCTGGCACAAGGATCCTTCCTTTGTCCTTTAGGTAAGAGGCACACGGTGCCAGGACTTGCACAGAGCTCTGCAACCCCTCCTTTGCTTCTCCTCTTGCGTGGTTGCCCAGACACTGCCATGATCTCCAGCGTGATTTCTTCAGTTCCTGTCTCTCACTTCTGGTTAGATCCACCTCTTGTTTTCAGATTAACCGATATCCCCGTAAATTAACTCCCTGCTTACCGTGTAAAGGGGGGCTTTAAATAACTGCACAAAGCAGCTGCAGGGAATCTGGACAGAGCCAGTCACAATCCTCCAAAAACCCCCTACTGATAATTCTGCCACTGCTACACATTCTGCCTTTTACTTGCAGTCCCTTTGTAATCCAGTGACTAACCTGCTAACCTGACAGAGCGCACATCAGCATTAGTGATGTAAAACACCGCAGGTAGAAGAGGCCCTAATTGCCAGCTAAGCCAGCCCTACATTCCCTTCCCCTGATGTGAACCAGTGCGAGAGATGAAGTCTCAGAGAGGCCGGACTGAACTCACAGTGCAATTTCTAATTTGGGCTCCCAAGAATTGTTCGGTCAACTTGAACGTGAGCAGTCAGTGCTCAAAAATAAATCCACTGCTAAAGAGATGAGAATTGAGTGACTTCAGGCTTATTTGGGGAAGCTGAGAGCAAGGAGCTGCCACAGTCAGGAAGGGGGGATGGAAAGTTAGGTGTAGTTAGTTGTTCCCCAGACACCAGTGAGGCACCAGCAGGAGGGTAAGATGGCTCCTTCTTCCTTTGTTCCTGGTTGCAAGCAGTACTCGTACCCCAGCTCACTCTTATGGCTGTGTGCCTGCCTGCTACAGCTTTCAGCTCAAACCCACGGCACCAGCGAGCTATCGATCTCTGCAATATCCAGCCAGCAAAGCTCAGCACAGTCAATTCCTCTGCTCTATTTTTAGTGCATCATTTCCCAGGGGCTTTACTGCATGGGGAGACAACACGTAGAAGGGGCATCAATAAATACCTATGCAAGCCTCGGTTTTGTTTTCTTCTTTAAGTGCAATCAAATTTTTTCAGTGTTCAACGTTTACAGTTTAACATTATAAGACAATCTTGCAGGAAATATGCACAGCTGTGATGCCCCAAGTTAACACAGAAAATAACAATAAATTAGCATAGAAAATCAGTAGCTCTACCAAAGGAAAAGAGGAAGAGTGACATGGCTAGAAAACATGTTTTCAGTAGAAGTATGTATATACTGCTTCACAGTATTGATTGTACCTTACTCCTTGAGTGTCTTACTATTAACTAATCAGAAAATCATTAGTCTACCAAGAAGTTTCATTAAAAAATGTTTTTTGGTCATTTGCAAAGCTGTGCCTTATTTCTCACTGGAGCAGTAAGAGACTTTTCTCTTTTTCTCAGGAAGGTGTCCCTAATTCAACCTTACACTGCAATGATTTCTTACAAGTAAGAGGCAAACTTGCAGAGGAGGAACACCCATCCTTCATGTGAGTAAAAAAACAAAAAGGCTAGACTGAATCAGAAAATAACAGAGTCATCTGAATTCACAAATGCATCTAAGCTACAGAGTTAAATGCAACATCAAGGTCTGGTTTCGTTGGTTTAAACTGGCTCTGTCATGGGTTAAAATTTCAAAGGAGCCACTTCAACTTTTACCTGATTATGTATCTGGCACAGATCACTGCAGTCAGCATGGCTGCACTGATGCTAAGCCTGGAGTAAGTGAGAAGACCAAGATCAAGCACTTGGGAACACCAGGACTTCACTCTGATACTGCCTCAGCTGGACTGCTGAGCTAGGAAAGCTCAGTTAGCTCTAGATCTGTGCTCCACTCATTGTCCACAGACAGTGTAATACCTCACTTTGTAGCCAAAAATCTCTTCAGAAAGGGAATAAACACTCACTGAGAGGATATTGGTAGATACAGTGTAAGACCACCTTAAAGGGGGTAAAAAAAATGCAAATTTCACTGTCTGATTTCAATGAAAACGAAGCAGCAATAAAGTCAGCACAAGTTTGATCCTTGGAAAGGTAAGTGAAGCCTGACACATGCAGTCAGGATTTGTGATTCTCAAATCACTTCTAAAAGCCACAAGTTCTCATTTGAGTTAGACTGAGAATGAAGGAAATCGGGAAACTCTTCCCATCTAGTCTCTCTTTCTGCCTGCATCTCTGGTTTTGTCCTTGTTTAGGCATTAACAAAAGTCTGATGTCTTCAAAAATCATTGCTGGTTTTTAAATTCATTGTCAGTGGGTAATTGGTCTTCTTTGGCATTGTCTAGCTAAAACATTATTTAGGAAGAGACAGTTTCCTCAGGCTTGATTCTATGACTCTGTTGCTAAATAGTACCTATCCTCATGAAATACACTGGAACTCCATCTAAATTTCAGGAATTGTCCATGAATTCCAGCAGATACACTTAACTTAGGGCTCTGACAAATGGCTGGGTGACAGGAGCTACACACAATTTCTATCACCATAAACTGGAGGGTTTTTCTTTGAACAACATTAGACAGGAACTCTCAAAAATCAGCAGTTTTCCAGATTCATCTCTGGAGGCATTTCTGTCCCTCACTGAACAAACCCGAAGCATACACACATTATAGAAAGCAGTAACAAGTTTTCCTGTTTGGAAAAAGTGCATCCCACAAGAGCTGTTCAAAAGCAGGTGCAGCTTTTTGTACCTGTGATAACCCTTCCAAGTTGGCAGGAGGGGCACTTCTCATTACCACAGATTTCACATGAGATAGGGTGAAAATTTGCTTTGTTTCAGGCACCCACTCAAGCAGAGAACTGATCCATCAGAGGACTCCCAGTCACTTCACACAATTATCAAAGCAGCTTAAAGGGCACTGTTCTGTTAAATGGGTTAGTCTCAAGTGGTATTTCTGTAACAAAAGCCCTTGAGTAAACAGCACACTTTCCTTCTCAAGTACGTTTTATGGTTATAAAAACCCACATTATTTGTTATTTTTATTACCATAAGAGCCAGTGTTAACAGGTGCCCCATTAAAGCTGGAAGATGGTGCCTCCAAAGAGGAGATAAAACACTTTTTCCTACGATAACATGAATATTGAGACTAGCAAAGTACACTTTCCTAAGACCTCTTTACATTATTACTAGAATTTATAGACCAAACGAGCTAGAACTTAAAGAGCTGAAAAGTGGGTTAATTTGTGACAGAGAAGTCGGTCCCTTTCCTTCCAATGCCAGCTGCTCTCACACGGAGCTTTCAGTCACGGCCCGCGCTCACAAACCGGGCAATTACTATTTTAAGAAACGTTAAGTTCTTAAAATAATTAACACTTCTTGAGCGCCTCGCAAGGGCTGCAAGAGAAAAAGTTGCGGCAGGTCTGTGGCATCCCGCAGCCCCCTCCCCGCTGCCCTCGGGCTCCGCACGGGCCGAGAAGGCGCACCGGGGGCTCCGCAGCCCCCCCGGTCCCTGCACAGCCCCCCGGTCCCTGCACAGCCCCCGGGGCCCTGCACACCGGTCCCCAGGCCCAGTCCCAGCCCCAGGCCCTGCACAGCCCCCGGGCCCTGCACAGCCCCCGGTCCCTGCACAGGCCCCGGTCCCGCACAGCCCCCGGGCCTGCACAGCCCGGGCCTGCACAGCCCCCCGGGCCCCGCACAGCCCCCCGGGCCCTGCACAGCCCCCCGGTCCCTGCACAGGCCCCCGGTCCCTGCACAGGCCCCCGGTCCCTGCACAGGCCCCCGGTCCCTGCACAGGCCCCCGGTCCCTGCAGGCCCCGGTCCTGCACAGCCCCCCGGTCCCTGCACAGCCCCCGGGGCCCCTGCACAGCCCCCGGGGCCCCTCCCCGGTGGGCTCCGGGCCAGCCCCGCGGAGCGCCCGGGACGTGTCGGAGCCCCTTCCCGGGAGGAATTCCGGCAGGGCAGGGGAGCCGGGCAGGCTGCGTGCCCGGGGATAGGCGGTGCTGCCCGCGGAGCAGCGCGCCCAGACCCCAGGGGAATCGCCTTCCCACCGGGAACTCCTACTCCGCTCAAGTTTCCAGCACTTTCTGCCCGCAGCCGTCGCGCTGCTGGGTCAGAGGGCTGTAACCCCCGAAGGAACGGGCTGTATTCCCCAAAACCCGGGCAGCTTGACCCGAAAGGGTCATTCCTCAGGGCCCCGGCAAAATCCCGGCCGCTCTGCCCTCCGCGTCTCTCCTTCCATGGACATATTTGGAGTGAGACGCGGCTTTTCCCTGAGCGTGCTTCGGAACGAAACCGGAGCGGGCAGCTGCCCGGAGAGTTTGGGACCAGGGAAAAGAAAAAGGGGGGAGAAAATAAGAAAAAAAGAAAAAGAAAAAATAGGAAGAAAAATGAAACTTGATCAGAGTCCGTGCTGGGTTTCTTTTCTTTTTTTTTTTCCTTTTTTCCTTTTTTTTTAAGGCATTCGCGATTTGAGCCGTTTCACAGCTGAAAAATAAATCAGGTTCTCCTCTCCGCTGGCAGGCCGGGCGGACTTCGCCAACTTTAAATAAACATCAGAGGGCCCAAGTATCAAATGATTTAATGCACAAAAAAGGGACTGCAGTGCGTCAGAGACAAAAGGCAGCTCCTGCCCTCTCCGCATCGCCCCGGGCGGGGGGAGCGCGGCCCCCGGACCCCCCCAGCCCCCCGGGCCGGGCCCCCTCCCGCCGTACCTGCGGCGCTGCCCGCAGGCGCGGGTCGCTCCAGGTGGTGGTGCGGCTGTTGTGATCCACGAAGAAGGGCCATCCCGTCTGCGGGTCGATCTTGATCTCCCAGCCGGGGGCAGCGGCTCGGCGCTGCCCTCCATCTGCGGCGGCGGCGGGGTCTGCGCGGCCGCGCTCATGGCCGGGCGGCTGCGGGGACGGTGCGGGCACAGTGCGGGGCGGGGGCCGGGCCCGCCGCTTTATCCGCCGGGGGCCGGGGGCGGGGGCGCGGGGCTGGAACTGTCTGGAAACGGCGGCGCGGGGGGCGGCGGCGGGGAGGGACGAGAGGCGGGACGCGGAGGAGGAGAAGAAGGAGGGCGGGGGACGGCGGAGGAGCAGCCGGCTGGAAACTTCTGGTTGTGTCCAGCACTGCCCGGCGGACCCCCGGGGTACCGGGAGCGGCGCCCTGGGAACGCCCTGGGAGCTGCAGCCGTGTCCCAGCCCCGCAGGCGTCCCCAGGCGCGTCCCGGGACGGCGTTCCCGGTTCTCCAGGCGGGGGAGGGAGTTCTCCGAGACGGGCACCGCGGGGTGAATGGACCAGCCGGAGCTGCCGTCCTGGGCCACCTCCCGAGCCCCGCACGGCACAGCCCATCACCGGGGAACCCCTCCGGCACCCTCGCACGGACACTCCGACCCCCGTGCAGCGAGAGAAAGCACAAAGCTCCTCCCCAAACCTCGCTGCCCCGTGACTGGTAATTCCAGGTTATAGCTGACAAATAACAAAAACAATGTTGCTTCCCAAATGAGGGTGTGGGCAGGCGTTGTTCTTCAGATTCGACTGGTTTGAACTTTCTCGCCTCTTTGCAAATCCGTGTCTCAGTCCTCAGTTTCACTCAGAAATACACCTGAAGGCGTCTGTGAGGTTTGAAACCATCCCTTTCTCATGGGTGCATTATCAGCACGTCATGCACTCAATGGGTCTAGCTTGAGGTAACTGTGCTTCACAGTGACGCCACTTGTAGTCATCTGATAGTCACAGGAGCAGCCACAGACGCCTGTTGATAGTTCAAGTAGCAGAGTGAGTGCACAATATCCCTCAAATGCAGAAGTTACCTTCTGGAAAGCTATTTGTTTCAAGGAATTCAAAGCATGAATTCCTCGGAGATGGATGCTCATTACCGACCTATCTCTTGCTTCAAAAAACCCTTGTCTGTTCACACCCCTGAGGAGAGCCAGAATCTCCTCCTGCTCGAGGCAGGATCAAAGATCTCTGGATACTGCTTGGCACTGATAGTCATTCATCTTTTGACAGAAGAGTTTTACTTATCACACTGACAAACCAAGTAATTGCTCAAACTTGCTCCTTCATTCCTGCAGCTCTTCCATCCTGCGTGTCCCTTGCCATCAGAACCACACTGTCATCCATCCCAGACCCGTTTTCTGCCCTTGCTCTTGTGTGCCTTTGACTCGTAAGTTTTGTGAATGGATCATTTCTTCCCAGAGCCTTTACTTTCAGATGTCTGTATTACCACCCCCATTTCTGACTTACCTTTTTCTCTGAGCAACAAGTCCCATATCTGGAGCATCTCACATCAGTCCTGGACTGTGCTGCCTCTCCCTGGGCAGGTTTCCTACCTCTGCTACCTCTCATGTTCTCTCTGTGGCATAAGAGCTCTGCTCAGCCCCCCCAGTGCCAGCAGTAGCCTCAAAAGGCACAATATCAGTGATTTACTCTGCTTCCAATCTGCAGAGGAATTTCACTCTCAGTTTCATAACAAAAACACACGCTTGGACCATATGTTCCCTGTAGCATATGCCAGAGCCTCTGCCAAATCAACAAAAGCAGCTGATTCAGGCACGGGGGACACAGATGTTCAAAAGGTCCTACAGGAAAATTACTCTTGTAAGTTGAGGAAGTGATACAGATGGGGTTTGTAGCTGACAGCCAACCATGCACCCAGCAGAGGTAATGAATAAGGTCAGCAAGTAGATGAAAAATTAATAAAAGGAAAATTCAAAGGGATATCTAACAGGCTTAACTTAGACATTTGGGGGGGGGGCATGCTCTGCTAAGAAACAGAGGGGACTGTATTTCACAAAAATTATAATGGGCTAATGGTTCAGGATTCACTTGAGCTGCTGCAGGGCTGACAAGCATCCAGCTGGAGAGAGAGCAGTCTGGGCTGACAAGGAAAAGCATTTTAGTGATTGAATTTAGCTGGCAAGACATCATGTTTTTTCTGTTAATTGAATTGTCTTTCCTGACAGGTAGGTTTTAGCCTGGTTTCCTGTGCAGGTGAAAGGACTCCCAGCTAGGCAGGTTATTCAGGATAGCTGTCCAGGGATTCACTGTTCTCCTGGACTGTGGTGTCTCTGGGCCATAGCTGGGACCCCAAGGCCATTTGGCTTCTGGTCTATGTTGTCATTAGCCCTCCTGCAGGTCAGAATGATTTACAGAAATGTTCATGTAAAGGATACTCCAAGCAAAAATCTTGGCTTCAGAGAAATCTGTTATTAAGATAAGTGAGTTTGTGGTGTCTGGCTAATCTCAGATGGGGCTCCAGGCTCCAGGTCTATATGTTCTATTTCAGAGGGGGAAACAATCAAGAAGCATTTGCTGCTTTTCTTCCTCTCCATGTCGGTGCAAACACAGCACTCCTGACTCGTCCAGGTGTTCACACACCCAGGAGTACCAGGCTGATCATCTGCTCCAGGCTGTTCCACTACCACCAGAAACCGTGTGATTGTGGTTACCCAGAGTTAATAAACTCTACGGGGTCTTCTGTGGGTTTTTGTCTTGAAAAATGGGCTGATTTTTGGTAAACCACCTGGAAAACCATTAGGCTTGTATGCACAACAGGATTTCCAAGGAATAACCCAGGACAGCAAAGCAAAGCAAAGCCATTCTTTTCTCAAGCCATCAGCTGCATCATTGCTCAGTTTTGACCCCAGAACTGTGTAGAGAATTGGCCTCAGTTTCTGAGTTGTATGATGGTCTGTGGTTACTTGAGTCTGTAGGGGGAGATACTTGCCAGAAACCTCAGGACACCGGGAGAGTATGGACCACCCTGGGGAGCCACTGCCTGCTGCCACATCTCCCTTGGTGGATGGATCATAAATGTCTGCAGAGGTGATTGCTTCATCTACAGTTCATACACGGTCTCTGGTCACAGATCCATCCATCTGAGACGGCCCTGCATGATTGTGAGCTCCCTCCCAGCTGCATGTCAGCTCTAGCTCAGGTTGTACAACACAGCAGTGCTGTAATGTAATTGTTATTTGCTGTGTTAATCGGGCAGATATCTCCGGTGTGTCAGCAGACAACATGTCTCGTGATAAGATCTAAAGTGGCTTTTCCCTCCTGAGTGCCTGGGGCAGCGTAGCAGGTCACCTGCTCACAAAAGGCCCTGTTGGCCAGGACTGGGGGTTCAAAGGTTTGCTCTGGAGCAGGGATTGCAGCAAAGCTGTTACTGATGGACCTCGTGGGTAAGTGATGTGTCTGGCACGTGTCAGGCACTGCATTTCTAAGCAGGCTCCAGTCCAGATTCTCTGCTGGATGTATTTAAGATCGAGTCATATGAACACTTTGTTAATAAATGCAGCAAACACACAGTTTCTCAATCTTCAGATTCCAGAGACGTGGTGAGTTTGACCGGCGGGATTTCCATGGCCTGGTGTTCCATCCAAATCCAGAGTATCCCTCCTGAATAGCCCAGAACTTCACTGGCTGATTTTGAGTATCCTGCTCCAGGTGTACAACCATTTCAGCTGAAAGGAAAGAGGTCTCACCTACAGATTCTCTGTAACTACAAGCAGAGAGGTGGAGATGTTTGGCTTCACTGCTTGTCCAGAGCTGTGGACTCGTTTGCATCAACAGTCCAAAAAAAAGGGCCACTGATTCCGTTGGATCCTGCCTGTCAGAAAATTAAAAGTGCAAACCCTAATCTTGTACCAATCTGCTGCTTTATGGTACAGACAACTTTTAACTTGATTTTCAGTGTTTGGTACATAATTCACTGTAAGTGCTGATGGAGGAGAGAGCAGAAGTATCTGGATGAAGCCACCACAAGTGGATCTCACCCTGCCTGCCCTGAGGTGCAGACATTGGCTCGTAGAGCTTGATCATGCCATCAGTTATTGGAGTCACAGCATTAGGTAGATTATTTGGATTTCCTGTGAACATTAATAGAAAATTCAAATTATTAATGAGAAAATAGAGTGCTAAAAGTACCTTCTAAATGGAGAAAAGCTTTTAAAATGTACCTGTTGCAGTCACACTGCAACTATACTAGAGCTGGACATTCACAAGGCACATACTCAGATTTCCAAACTTCAGATTCTTTGAACCTGAAAAAGATTCCAGAAACTAATTCCACTACCCTTTTTTCTTCCTTTTTATTTCCACCTGGAATGCAATTTGCCACAAACCAGGGAGGAAATGTGTCTGTGAACACAGCAAAAATCAGCTTTAATTTCTGTGATCTATGTGCAGCAAAAGCGAAATTCCATCCTGACCAGAGGCAGTAGAAGACAACTTGAATATTTAGAGCTCCTCACTCTCCTAATATGTTATGAATGGCACAGGGAAGGTAAATTAATGTTTCCAAAATAAGCATTTTGGGTTGACCATTCCCTGTTCTTCCTGAGCCAGTCAGGCAGAAGCTGAGGCGTCAGGTCTTTGGTGTAAGAGGTGCCTGGGCCTACCCAGGGAGCAGAATAATTTTATTTTCTCTAGAAATCCGGAGGGTTTTTTAGAGAATTAGAGTCACTGCCGGCTGTTTTAATTGCCGCGGTGGCCGCCACTCATCAGCACTGAGAGGTTTCCACCTAGTGGATGATCTGCCCCGCTGTGCTCCAGCCTGCCAGGACCAGAGTGTGCTTTGGAACATCTGCGTTACTTCTGCCGAGCTTTAACAGCAAATCTCGCTCCAAAGCAGAATCGTTTCCAGAGCTGAGAGTGCCCCATAGCAGGCACAGCACAGAGTCTGGAAAAAACAGCTGGAAAGGGAACTTCAAAACCCTCTTTCACCAGCAAATTGATCCTTTTATAAACAGAATATGGCACATGTGTTGGCAGAAGTATTTCTCGGTTTCTGTGGGTACTGCAGCTGATTCAGTGATGTTGGTGCTCTGTCTCTAATCACCCCTTCCAAATATTTTCATTGCCTCGGATCGAAGAAGCAGATCAGAGCTGACAGCA